CTCTCTCTCTCTCTATACGCCTGGGAATCCAGTCGTGCCTTCTCAGAAGGTACGACTGGACCCTCCGAACCTCCATATAACAATGTCTCAAATCACCGTACCTGCGGTTCGGAACGAAAACGGATCCCTACATTCTCTGGATCTGATCCCAGTCACGTCTTGGAGCCGATGTGTTCCTGCCGGAAACCTCGGTCGAACGGCGTTGGACCATAGCCTCGAAGCCAAAATCTCCGCCGGTTCGGCGCCACACCGCCGGTTTCGCCCTGTCAATGCTTCCAAGAGAGGTTAAGTGACCGTAAATAGGACCTTACTCAAGTACCTATGGGATAGTCTATAAGGTCCTTCAACCTCTGTTGGTTGTTTTTGGGAGAATGATGTAGAACTGCAGCACTTCGCTTTCAATTCCTGACATACGCTGGCTTTGATCAATCTTGGGCTTCTCCCACCTTCCATGGGAGGTGATGTGGTTGGTGAACAAAGGCTTCTGCCTCACAGAGCAGGAAAATGCTTGGTATTCATGCAGGATGTCTCTCACTCTCCGCTTTGTCTCTGGATGAGCAACCTCGTAGCAACCACTATATCCTCGCTCATCATCCTCGTAGCAACCACTATCATCCTCGTAGCAACCACTATATATCCATCGGTTGACCCCCTGCAAAACCAGGGTGGACAGTGAAAACTAAAGTGTGTGTTTTTGTTGTTTTGTCATTAGCTATGGAAGGTACAGCCTGCATTGTGCACCTTAGATGTAATTTGATCCAATCCTATAGATCGACACTGATCTTCACCAGGGATAGGTGATACATACATATTGATACATATTGCGTATTGCGCAAAATGCCTGATATCCGAATATATCCTGTTCTCCGAGAGCTTGCGTGGATGACATGCCAATCAAACGGCTTGCTTAATCGAAAGAACCAACCCGCTGGAACGGCCTTCTCTCTGGGACGAGTCGAGGCCAAACAAGCCGCCCAGTAGTGGGCCTTTCTTCCTATCTCCATCCATCCGAGGAAGAGGCTGGATTAGCTGATTCGGAACCTGGAAAAAAATAACATATTCACCACTAGGGAGAATAGCAAATCACCGCTATAGCAAAACCAGGTAAGAGGCTGGATGCCCAGGCGTAGTCCAACATTTTGTGCGGTGGCTCGTGCCTCGGATGTCGAGGGAAGGGGACAGCAAATGGCTGGCGGCTCTAGCTAGCTTGCCCTATAGGATTCGATCTGCCATTGTCAAATGCTCCATCAATGTATGCAAATCCTATGAGTCTACAATTTGGTGGTTTTCTCTATATGTTACTACTGTATATCAAATGTAGGCCAATGTGGGCCGTATATTGGCTAATAATGGAGCGTTGGGATTACTTTCATAGCCTGAATCCCACAACTAAGGTTTTGTTAAGCAAGGATCTTACAATACAAAACCAGGTCAACCCTTCAGGCTATGCATCATGGATAGCAGGAACCGCTCACTTGGTGGTCAGCGATCTGGGTCCCACGACGCAGGAGCCCATACACATCCATAGACCCTACAAGAACAGATACCTACACCCAGACCTACCTGCACCCAAAGACCTTCTCCGGGGTACGGAAACCCAGGTCGAGCTCCAGATAGTTTTGGACATGCTCTGGTTTGTTTATAGCATCCCAGAGGTGAGTCAGAACCCGAACGTCGACTGTCCTAGTTCGGTACCCTGACGGGTCCTATGGTCCCGGTCACTTAACCACCAGTTCCTCGGTACGGTCCATCGTCGCTCCAAAGGGGCGTGACCAGCAAATCCAATTGCTCTGGGATCTGCTTGGAGTAGGCCATTTGCATGAAACCTCAAGCGAAATCGGCCGTACTTTGGGCTGCTGCCATTTTCACAGCTCAGCGGTCCGGAACCACGCTCGGTCCAATGGAGCCCGAGGTAGCGAGCTTTCACAGCGGAACCGGGATGACCCAGGTGAGACTGAGCTCTTCGACCCTCCGTGAGCTCAGCGATCCGGACCTGCTCTGAAGACCCGGTCCGGGGGTCTGGGGTTTCTCACCAATAATTGGTTGCTTCGGGACCGGGAGGTCGGGAATTCGAGCGTCGGGCACCTCAGTCACCTGGTCAACGTTGGATCCATTCCAGCAACCACAACCATACAGGCACAGAAGACCAGTCTGTGCCGTGCCAAAAAACATTGAAGAGGCCTGATAAAGAAACGAACGGCCAGCTAGATCACACAGAAACCCGCAAGCTTGATCACAACAAGGAACAGCTAGTTTCAGCATCTGGACCTTCTACAGTAAATGACCGAACTTGAGATCCCAGTGGCTGAGGCCACTTAAATATCCCCTTGGGCTCCAACCACCTCCTGAGAAGATGGTTGGGGTGGGTTTGGGGGGTCTAACCACCTTCTGAGGATATGGTTGGAGCCCTAGGGATCCTAAGACTATTTATAATATTTGTAGTTATTAATAAAACGCTTGTTGTACAGGATTCAAGCTATTGAATCAATGGTCGGCTAGGAATTTTAGGGTGATCATATTTGGATCCACTGCCGCCCTCGTCAGGGTGAGGGAAACACTTTAAATATCTGGGAGTCTGGGAGCATCCGGTTCGGCCCGTACGGGATCCCGAGACCGCCTGGAGTCGACCATCTCCGCCGAATCGCACGATACGTCTCCCCGGAAGAGTCATGGTCCGGTCGTTCGGGCACCCGACTTCGGTCGCCGAAGGAAACATGGGATGATATATGACCGCGCGAAGTAGAACATGTCCTCGAGCGGGTGTTCCAAGGTACGTTAACCGGGTCGATTCTAGGTACTTGAAGTCGGGTCCAGGTCTGGTCTTTCAGCAGTTCTTCCTTCGTTCGGGCCCCCAAACAAACGACAGCTCTCCTCTCACGCGTCCAACCAAACGACGGTCTTGGTCTGAACGCCCGGGCGAGCCGCCGTCGGGTTGGTAGGGAATCCCAAAGAGCTTCAGCTTTCCACAGTGAGTGGCCCCACGGAGGTAGACCGCGCCCAAACGGTCTTTCCACCTGGGAGCAGACTGAGCAGACCGTATGGGTTGGAGCAGTTGACGGCGTGCTAACGCATGAACAATGCAACACTGAAGATGGAACAAATATTAAAAATGCCTGTGCACTTGATGATGAAGAACGACATGCGGAGCATTTGGAGCCTGGGATTTTTACTTGGAGCATCTTGGAGCATTCCTTGCGCCCAAACACTCCATGATTCTCCATGTACAGAGGTGGTTTAAAGGTCAATGTAATCAATATAGGCATACCTGCAACCTCGTGGTTGCATTTCCTTTTTGTAATCCTTTGTTTTTGTCTCTGAGCTGAGCCATAGACATTTGCAACAAAAAAACATCCGCTTAAAAAGGACAAACACGTTCGGGTAAAACGCCCGTGGTTCACCAATAAATGCCTGTAGTTTGATTATAACCGTCCGTGCAATACCGCAACAACATCCGCAGACTTTACATCATATAAGGCGACTGCAAAAGAGGTTCACACCACACATAAAAATACACACATGAGACAAAATCCAGGTCTATGCCAGTCCCCTGAAGCGTCTGGGTGTTTCACAAAATCACCTGGACCCGACTGCCGGCGGCAGGTCCCAGGCGCCATGCGTAGCTGTTTTTGGTCCGGGTCATATCCCAGGCGAATCCGAGCGAGCCGGCCCTCCAGTCCGCACCCCTTGCGGGGGTTTGGACCTGAATCAAACCCTTCACATTTGAGAGGACCCGCTTTGTTGATGGCAATTTTTCTATATAGGAATTGGAGGCTGGTACACCCTCATGGGCGAACGCTCAGGGTTGAGACCGAACCGGATGCTTCAGGTCGGCGGATCCCTAGGGCCCAAGGGCCCGGATTGCTCCACCATTGATTGGATGGTTTGGTGCTGAGGAAACACGGTGTTTACTGGGTTCATTTAAGACTATGACAGCAGGTCAACCTTGCTTTTAGTGGTCTTGGAAGGCTAGGGTCTATATTAAAATAATATATATGAAGGACGGTCAAAACTCCATATGTTTCTTCAACTTAAACATGGACGTCATGGGTCTTGAGTTGGACCTTATCGTTTTACAGTGCTTTGAGTTCGTCGCATACTTATGATCATTTACAGCGCTGGAGTGATCGGTTTTGAGGTGGACCTTGTCCTTTTGCAGGGTTTGGTGCACAAACCTACCCTTGTTGACTAAAGGGGTCTTCGCATTTTTTGACGGTAGCTCATATGTTGTTCGGCTGGTCGAACGTGGTTTTCTTTTGTAGGGCAACGTTGTAACGTTGAGTAACAAGAACGCGGGATTATCCACTGTTCCCACTGAGTCACCATCTTCCCATTATCTTCTTTTGGATGGACCAGAACACCTTCAGCAAAGAACCTTGCATATCAGTGCCAATGGATGGTTCTGTCTGTGGACTGGCACATGGGAGCGTAATGACTCACCAGGCTCAGTACAAATCAAGTCAAGCTACTCGCGGCCTTTCTCGTGGTTGCCCCTCACAAAGATCTTGTGCTTAAAGTCTTGTTGTCGAAACCACTCCACAAAGTCTGCATTTGGAAAGACATATGCAGGAAAGAGAACAACAAAATTGACAGCAACAAGAAAATCGTAAAAACAGGGTGAGTGTGCGTGTATATATATATATATATATACGTATCGATCCTCATTATAGGCAATAGTTAGGGGACAAGAGCGCCTAGAGGGAACGTCTAAGCGCGCACAAAGGCGCCTTTTCCCACAGGCAAAAATTTCGGCCCAAGAAGAAATTCTAGGTATACCTAGAGCCCCCAATACATATTTTGAATGGTAAGGTTACCAAATTCGAGGTCTCTGAGGGCTCTCAAGATCAAGGTGCAGCCAATGATAGATAGATTTGATGTGGCTGTAGAAGTGCTGGATTGTCTTGCATGTTGTGACATCATCCATTGCCTGGCGAGTCAGTTTCGGACAAGGATGCTGATGATGCAGATGATGCCCTGGGCTAATGTTGAAAGAAGAAACACAGTCCCTTTAGCCTTGCTCCAAGCCAACAGCTCCGCCATTTGACTCCGCCATACTAGACTGCACGGAAGGCAGCATGTTCTGGCCAGAGAAGATTTGTGGGGGAGTGTATATAAAAGCGACCAGCTTTCACGAGCTGCCGCGAAATTTATATGCACTTCAAGGTTCACAACGTGTGCTGCACCTGCTACGAAATCTGCCCTCAAATTTCCCCGCCTGCCACGAAATCGGCGCATCAAGATTCACATCAGGCAGCCCTGCCAACGCGATTCGCAGCAAGAGCACTTCTAAAGACAACATCCAGATGCCAAAAACAGCCATCAAGAAGGTTATCAAACTTGCGGCATTCAAATCCGCCAGGGTTTATCCATGGCCTGCGATTTTTCCGCGCCGCGAAGCTGCGCTTTCAATGGCTGTACTTATGAGCCGCAGATTCACGACCGGTTTCGCCCTCACTCGCCCTGGTTCTTCAGCGGGCAGTGCCCGACCAAATAGGTCAGCATGCAGTGTCTGAGGCGCTCCAAAAGTAGGGCCAGGAGGCCAAGGCCTGCAGACCGGAGCCACACATGTCCAAAAGTCACGATTCACAAACCTGCCACACCTGCACAGCTCACGAAAGGTCGACCTAATGGACCACCAAAAAACGGGGCTTTCCTCGCTCCTGCCACGAAAAGTGATCACCAAGCCCGAAAATGCGCACGGCACCACAACGAGAGTGCTCGAAGAGCACCCGTGGCAGCCCACCAGATTCTGCAAGCCTGCGCAGTCGAAATGCGCTCGAAGATCTGGAGGTGAATAAATGCGCTGCAAAATGCAGCATATTAGCCAGACCCGGCCGCGAGCACCTCGATCAGACACCCGTCCATATTACCATAAGAACCCTTGTTTGTAGGTTTACCACACTGTTTGGGCAAAATTACAAACCAGCACCACGGAGTTCGGGTGGTTTATAGACATCCCATGACATCCCTATTGTCCTTCCAATAACCACCCTTTCACTCCGTGCCGCAGGAAAAGGCAATCAGCACCCCTGAAGGTATTTGGACCCTCCAAACCTAGCTCAAACAGCTTCTTAGAAGGTACTTGGAGCCCTTGGGCACCTCATATCACCGCCAAACAAGGCAAATGCAAAGCCAACACCATCTCTCGCACTGCTCAGCACTGCGCGCCCGCGCCTGCCAGATCAGAGCCGCTGTTGCCTTGAGCATCTCCACAGTGGATCAAAAGATCCTCAGATCTCCAAATTTGCCTCTAACATCCTACAACCCAGTGGATTCCAGTTATAAGACTTTTGCTTGCAACCTGGTACGAGTAACGACACTCACTGAAATCATCATGGATGGAAGTCAAGTGAAAACCACCTGCCATGACTGAGAACACCCATCCTCCTTTCAGGGCCATGCCATGCACTAGATGATAATTTCAGAAAGAGACAACCATCGATCTGTGTTTGCGGGGCCAAAAGCAACCACTTCATGGCAAAACCAACCACTTCACTCCGCTGGATGCCCAGCACTACCTCCGTTCTCCCACCCACTGCCCTGGAGGGGGCGCTTACACCGGACCCATAACGACAGAGGCGACTCTCGCAGGACATCCATGGTTTGATTCCAGCAGGTTCCTGGTTCCTTATATAGGAAAAACGCCTGGTGTATCAAAGAAACGTTGAAGGGGTACATAAAAACCAGGTGTATATACAACTCTGGTGTATAACGTATAAGAAACCTGGATCCCTTAGACATACACCAGCACCCTCCAACAGGGTCTCCTCTCATACCAGCTGTAGGAAGGCTAAGGGAATGACTGGTCAGCATCTACCACTGAGTCTAGTGATGACTTGTTTTACCCTGCTAGTGGTGGATTTGGACGAAACCTGGGTGGAGGTTTCACGAAGTCATTGTCTGCGTTTTCGCCTCCCAGGACCCTTTTGTAGAGTAAATTCCTTAGCACAACCATGGTCGTTCGGTGAAGAACACACCGTTTGACCAGGTTTGTGAGCAAATGCTGAGACCCTTATCTTAAGTACCCATCATAGAAAGAGATCGATCGAGTGGTGGAAAAGGTTAAGACCTGTAATATGTGTATATTGTATTTATATTTACTCTATATGTCTTATATATAGTTTTTCTATTGTCATGTACTTATGTACGACTTGTATATACTGTAAGCCATGTCCCTGGAGGTCAGGTCGCATCTCATCTTGGGACCCTTGAGACTCACTGTCGCTGTCACAAGAGCTGAATTGGGAGCTCCAGCTCTTGTTGAATCGGGAACCCCTATACCTGGAACCTCATTCAGGCTCACATTTCTGCCTGTTCAAGAACATCTGCCTGAACCAGGGTTTGTCCTTAAAAACTGCCTGGCGAGCAGAAATCGAGATTCAGGCAAAGCAAAGCACCTAACCTGCAAATCTGCAGTGTTAAAGCAATTTGCGACATTTCAATTCGGGCGAGAATCGGCGTGATTCGGACGTGAATGTGTGTGATCGGGCGAGAATTCGTGTGATCGCGTGATCAGGTGGATTTTGTAGACTCAAGTTGCATTGCATCTACTCATCACTCACAGAATATATCGATAATATTCGATAATAAGCAAAAACACGTTCGGGCGAGAATTTTAAGGGGTGGGCGTGAAAACCACGTTCGGGCAGAAATACTGCCTGAATGGATTTGGGAAGGAATTCTAGCCTGGACAAGTTCCTATGGATCACCCCTCCCTCAAAGCTTCGAATCCCGCATTCCTTTCAGGGCTCAGATGCTCGTCTCGCGCTGGCAATCCAAACCCCGCAAGAGCTAGGCCTCGCTACCGTCCCAAAAGCCCAACTCTTCCACATGGATTCCACACGCCAGGCGTCGCCCTCCGGCAGGCGCGGGAAGCGCCGGTGAAAGCCGTGCGTGTCGCTGATTGCCACTACCCGCGTCGCGTGGCTCAGCTCCGCCGGCGCGGCGCCTGCGGCTCCGGTTCCGGGCGGAGAGAGGAAGCTCCTGCAACCCACCCGGTGGAGCGAAGCGGAGCAGATGCGAGCGAGCGGAGTTGTCGAAGTCTATGCGAGCGGAGCGTGCCACAATGAAAAAATTAGACCAGCATAGACCCCAAACAGCTCTTTTTCTTTAAAGATAGAACTGCAACAGTAAACTAATTGGGGAATAACAAATCTTGGGGGCTGAAAAAGTTCACCTGCCCAGGAGATTGGCCTCTATTTTGGACCACTATACTGGGAAGTTTCACAATTAAGGGTTTTTAAGTTATGACTTCATCCCGCTTTGGGATTTTAAGCTGTGGAAGTGCTCCATCTATAGTAGCCAGCTAAAGATGCCCACTCTTGG